GGAGGTCCAGGGGCTATGAAACGGAGAGGGGAGGAGGTGGGAGGTGTGTGGTCACGAGTGGCATTGGGGCACCCTACAACAGGCTGCCCAGTGCCTGGGACAGCCCTGGTAGGGGTGGGGATACCAGGCCTGACCGAGCCTTGGGTCAAGTGGGACGCAGCCCACCATGGGATGAGGAGCATAGGCAGGATCCAGTGGGATGAAGCCCACTCGGGGATGAGGAGCGTGGGCAGAATCTAGTGACCGTTGGCTTCCAGCCTAGGGGAAAGTATGCACCGTCTCCCGTTTTGCCCCCTACTACCGTGTGTGGGCAGAAGAGGCTCCTGCTTGGCACTCTGCGAGCCCTCAGAAGTTGAAGTCCCACGGAGGAGCTGGGCCCTCAAGTGGGTGACACAGATGCGGGACCTTTGGGATGGCCTGGCCCACAGGTACACCATCCCCGCCCGAGCCCCGGCCTCCGGCCACTCGGGCGCGACTCAAACCCACGGAACACCCTCGGACAGTTCCCAGAGAAACGGAAGCTGACGCGCATGCGCTCTGACGCCGGCCTGGTCCAGGGCGCTTGCGCACGCGCGCGCGCGCTACCTCCTCCCAGCATTCCGGGTGCAGGCGGGGCGTGTGACATCAGGTGGTTTAATCCGGAAACGGCACCGGCGGCAGAGGCTACAGCACCAAGGGGCCGTCGTTGGTGGGCGCGCCGGGGAAAGAGTAAGAGGAACGTAACCCGGAAGCGGAAGCTGGCCCCCTTCCCAGCTCGGGTGAGTGGCCTTGCCGAACCGCGGATCCCGGGCGGGCTCGCGGGCGGCAGCGTACGGAGGGTTTCTCTTCGCCAGGGCCTTTCAGTGCCTCCTCGCCTTTCCCTGGGACCCTGTCCTCACCTCGGGGACCCCAACACCCTTGCCCTTGGTGTGCAGGACCCACTGACGCTGTTCTTGCTGTTCAGTGCGACCCAGCCTCCATCACCCCGCTCTCCCTCGATGTACAAGTCTCTCCCCGTGGCCCCAACCGTTTCTTCCGCACCCAGGTTCCCTCATCGTTAGGGGGTCCTCAAGCCTGGTTCCATTGTTTTCAGCTTCAGAGCCCCCTCATCCACCGTTCTTGGCCCTCAGCCTCCATCCTTCTGTCCTCGCCTGTCGGCCCCTGCAGCTGCCCTACCTGCGGTGTTCAGTACCCCCAGCGCACCCACTCGCTTCCATTTCAGTTCATCGAAGACTCCAGAACCTAGCCTCGGGTCTTGAGAGGGAAGCTGAGCTTGCAGGCCCTAATCTCTATGGGGGCAGTGATGAAGAAAGGGCTTAGGCCAGCCGGGCTCGGTGGCTCAGCCTGTAATCCCGCGCCTTTGGGAGGCTGAGGTGAGTGGATTGCCTGAGCCCGCGTGTTCGAGACCCGCCTGGGCAACTTGGCAAGACCTCATCTCTACAATAAATCAAAAATGAGCTGGGCGTGGTAGCGCGCGCCTGTAGTTTCAGCTACTTGGAAGACTGAGGCGGAAGGATCGCTAGAGCCCAGCAGGTCGAGGCTGTGGTGGCCGGGAGCGGCCACGGCACTCCAGTCTGGGTGACAGAGTGAGACTCCAACTCAAAAATAAATAAATAAATAAGAAGGGGCTTAGGCCAAACATGACGAGAACTTTCAGGTCTAGCTGTCCCCTCTGCGTCCCCAAGCTCCCCCTCGATGTTCCCACCTGCTCTTTTGGCCCCTCCTGTCCCACTCACCCCTTCTGTAAGGCCCCTGAGACCTTGCTCGGCTTCTTGCCCTCCTTCTGGGCCCCATGCCCTACAGCTTTCAGCTAGGCCTCACATCTGTCCCAGGCCTGCCAGTGGACACTAATACCACCATGGACCTGTTGTTCGGGCGCCGGAAGACGCCAGAAGAGCTGCTGAGACAGAACCAGAGGGCTCTGAACCGCGCCATGAGGGAGCTGGACCGTGAACGACAGAAGCTAGAGACCCAGGAGAAGAAAATCATTGCAGACATCAAGAAGATGGCCAAGCAGGGCCAGATGGTGAGTGGGGATAATCGGTGAGTGGGGGTGATCAGGGGCAAGGTGCCATTACTCAGGCACTACTGTAACAGCAGTGAACAAGAGGACACCAAAAGACAGGTACTTCAAGGAAAACAAGCAGAGTGAGGGTGATTGGGCTTCCTTGGTTTGAGGGTCTGGAAGGCCACCTGCAAAAAAGTGATATGAGACCCAAGGTCGCAGAAGACCTGGGCAGGAGGTGTGTCAGAGCAGCAAATGTAGATGAGAGCCTCAGCAAAATGGGGGGTTGACCGATGAACTCTGAGGGTTGGATATGGGACATACAACTCAGAATTGTGGCCACAGTGGGAGCTGAGTTAAAAAGTTAACCACAAGAATAGGCACTGGCCAGGTGGCTAGTTAAGAAGGAGATAGCAGCTGGGCTCGGTGGCTCAGCCTGTAATCCCATGCTTTGGGAGGCTGAGGTGGGTGGATTGCCTGAGTCCGGGGGTTCAAGACCCGCCTGGGCAACTTGGCGAGACCTCATCTCTACAGTAAATTAAAAATCACAGGCATGCGCTACCATGCCCAGCTAATTCCAGCTAAGAAGGCTGAGGTGGAAGGATCACCGGAGCGCAGCAGGTCAAGGCTGCAGTGGTCGGTAGCATTTCAGTCTGGGCGACAGAGTGAGACTCCAACTCAAAAAAAAAAAAGAGACAGCCAGAACCAATAGAGAGAACATGGAGAATGAACATGGGTGATAAGGTTTTGGCCCAAACAGCTGGGCAGAGGAGGTGCTACATCTTGGGATGAGTAAGGAAGATGTTTGGGAAGGAAATCAAAAGCCAAGCCTCAGCCAGGCACAGTGACTCAACCTGTAATCCCAGCACTTTGGGAGGCTGAGGCGAGAGGATTGCCTGAGCCTGGGGGTTTGAGACCAGCCTGAGCAACTTGGTGAGGCCTCATCTCTACAATAAATCAAAAAATTAGCCAGACGTGCATCTGTGTTTCCAGCTACTTGGAAGGCTGAGGCAGAAGAATCGCCTGAGCCCAGCAGGTCAAGGCTGCAATGGCCATTGAGTATGCCACTGCACTCCAGCCTGGGAGACAAGAGTGAGAATTCTGGATAGTCAGGTGTGAGCTTGTACCAGGTGAAGAAAAAGGCAGATTCTTTGTCTAGGCTGGGGACAGAAATCAACGAGTAGGTGTTTTAAGTCAAGAAAGTTACTGTTGGGCGATGCTCAGTGACTCATGCCTATAATCCCAGCATTTAGGAGGCAGTGGGAGTATTGCTTGAGCCCAGGAGTTAGAGACCAGCCTGGGCAAGATAGCAAGACCTTTCTTGTAGAGATAAGGTCTTGCCAAGTTGCCCGGGCGGGTCTTGAACCTGCAGGCTCAGGCAATCCACTCACCTCAGCCTCCCAAAGGTGCAGGATTACAGGTTGAGCCACTGAGCCCGGCTCTCTACAAGAATTTTTTTTTTAAATTAACTGTCAACATTGGGGGAAAAAGAGCCCCTAGGGATTGAGCCTAGGCCTGCCTTCCTGCGTTTAGGGATTGAGAGATAAGGAAGACCTTTCCAAAGAGTCTGCGGAGGGTGGCCCATGAAGCAGGAGGGTAAGATCAGGAGGAAGGAGCAATAGTGACCATTGGGTTTAGCAAGGGCCCTGAAGACTTCAGAATGGTGGAATGAGATGGGGGGTGGTCACAACTGTCAAGATGGAAATGCCCAAGAATGTAGAATAATCCCACTGGTACGTCCTTGATACCCGTCTATTCCACAGGATGCTGTGCGCATCATGGCAAAAGACCTAGTGCGCACTCGGCGCTATGTACGCAAGTTTGTTTTGATGCGGGCCAATATCCAGGCTGTGTCCCTCAAGATTCAGACGCTCAAGTCCAACAACTCAATGGCTCAAGCCATGAAGGGTGTCACTAAGGCCATGGGCACAATGAACAGACAGGTAAGCTTCTCGCAGTCCTCCTCGTGGGGACTTGTGGGGACCAGACTTACCATCTATCCTCTTCCAGCTAAAATTGCCCCAGATCCAGAAGATCATGATGGAATTTGAGCGGCAGGCAGAGATCATGGACATGAAGGAGGAGATGATGAATGATGCCATTGATGATGCCATGGGTGATGAGGAAGATGAAGAGGAGAGGTGTGGGATACTGGGGAGGGCAGGTGGTGGAGGGGGAGCTGTTTGCCTGGTCCTCACTTGGAACATAGCTCTCATGGAGTTTCTCTTCTCTCTCATCTAGCGATGCTGTTGTATCCCAGGTCTTGGACGAGCTGGGACTGAGCCTGACAGATGAACTGTCCAGTGAGTGCTCAAAACCCTGGGTCCCATTCCCCAAGCAAGGCCCAGCCACAGCCCTAGGCCCTCCCTTGTCCTGCATTATTCCTCTTCCTACATTTCTTTCCTGCTCTCCTAACCTCCACTCTCCCTGCAGACCTCCCCTCCACTGGAGGTTCACTCAGTGTAGCTGCTGGTGGGAAAAAAGCAGAAGCCGCAGCTTCAGCCCTGGCTGATGCTGATGCAGACCTGGAGGAGCGGCTCAAGAACCTACGGAGAGACTGACTGCCCCCCTGCTACTTGGGAGTGGAGGGACCAGTGAATGTCTGGAACCCTTACCATAAGCACTCTGTAATAAAAGAGATTGGACACTAGTTCTGGTTCTGTGACTACAGTACCAGCCTGATATGGGACCAGGCTGGGATCCCTGGGGGCAGGAATGGTAATCACTAAGGCTCAATAAAGCAGGCACTTGACTTGAAGCTATAGATTAGTGTTTGGGGCACAAGTGAACAAGCAAGTCCACCTGGGACATTCAGGTATTGGGAGCTTAAAGTCAGCTCTGTGCTGTGTGGTGTAGCACCTCTACCAGGCATGCACTCCAAAGACACGTTGGGAGTCCAGACCCCCTACGATTCAGGCTATAGTACCCAACACTGTTTGGTCCAGTAGTGGCTTAATGAGAACACTTGAAAACAGGCCAGGCTAACAAAGAGGTGGTCCACCCAACTTGGGATTCACAGGCCAAGAATCCTAACATCACCTGGAAGTAGTACTCCCTGTGGTATCCCCATCTGATGAGAAATAAACTACAGCCCCCAAATTTAGCAAGTGCTCAGAATGGCCGCAACACCTAGGCCTCACCTTTGCCTACCCAGGGCTACAAGCCAGTCAGCCCAGGCCTACTCACCCACAGGACACCTTACACAGCTTCTAGTATATGAACCCTTCACCCTGTGGGCCCACAACTCTGGGCAGCCCCCATAAATCTCAAATGCTCACTCCCTAGGTATCTAGGTAGGTTCAAGCAGGCTGGAGATAAGGCCTCCCAAGGCCACCAGTGATTGTTGAGAAAGAGAAACAGACCCCAAGACGACAGCCCCCCACCAGCCAAGGCCTGAGGAACTGGTGAAGTTTTTATTAAATCCACAGAAGTAAAAACCATATTGTGAGGAGACTGGGGGATGGGGCCACCAGGGAATGGGACTCAGGCCACCGGGGCAGAGGAAAAGAGGAAGGGGAAGGGGTGACAGGACAAAGAACAGAGCCAAGCTGGGCTGGCTATGAGGGCTCCAAGCTCAGGGGCCATCGCCAGGGCCACCAGACAGCTCCTGGGAGCTGAGGCCAGCACCAGGCAGGCTCAGCGGCGGGGGCTCCACCAACACAGCAGAGAACTTGGTGTCACCGAAGGCCTCGTTCATGCGCGTCTCGAAGAAGCGCTGCAGGCCAATGATAGACTGCACATCCGCCTTGTCCTGGGCCAAGCAGGAATGCAGTGGGTGAGTGGTCCTAGCTCTCACCCCCTCCATCTCCCCTACCCACAGTCCCTCCCCGGTTCCACAGGCTCACCTCAGTCAACTTGTTGAACTGCTTGAACATGCGGCCCACATCCTGGGCAAACTCCTGGGGGGAGCAGTAAGGGGGTGATAACTTCTCCTGGAGACGGGCACGGATTAGGGTCAGATCAAGGGTGCCACCAGGCTGGTCCTGCCAACAGATACCACACAGGTTGAGAGTGAGGCCCACTAGTCAATACCTCTTTGCCTCTCTCCTGTCCTAGGACTCACCAGGGAGAAGGTGGAGTCGGTAGCCAGCTGATGCAAGGGGCGGCAGGGTTCATGACAAAACAAGGCCAGCAGCACGCGCTCACATTTCTAAAGACAGTACAAAAAACATAGCTCTGGGTACGCCCATAAAGCTCTGGGCAACTCCCAACCAAGTTAACTCCACCCCTTACCCGTTGGTTGGCTGGTGAAAGCTTGGCCACCACACCAGAGCTGTCTGTACCATCCAGACTGAGGCTGCCATCCTCCTCCTTCAGGTCAGGAAGCACGTGGCAGAGTGAGCAGCTCCATTCCTCCCTAAGGTGAAGAAAGTGAAGAAAGCTGCAGGATTCTGCCCAGCCCTTCATGCTCTGCCTAGTCCCTACCAGTCTCACACTTACCCTGGCACATCCTGCAGGGCAGGTAGATGACAATCCAGGTGGAAACAAAACTCACACTGGTTGCACATGACCAGGTCACCTGGCTTCTGACAGACACGACAAATGGTGGCACTGTCATCTAGGGTTCCTGGGCCACCACCTGGGGCTGCAGTACCCTCAGGAGCCACCACCTCCAGGCCTGAGCTGGTACTGCCACTGGGTGAAGCCAGGCGCGGGCCCTCACCACCAGAGCCCTCTGCAAGTGCCATCAGCACAGGTTTGGTCTCAGGGCCTTCGGTGGCAGCAGGAGGGGCTCCAATAGCAGCCTCTGTCTCCTCCTCCTGCAAAGTGGTGAGAGGTGTTCAACAGTATCCAGACCTGGGCTACAGACATCATCCTCCAGTCGTGGTCCACTGGGACAAAGCTCACCTTGACAATGGCCATGCCAGGCAGGGATGGAGCACCAGGGGTTCCTGGGGGTGCAGACCCAGGCTGGCCAGCAGCTGCAGCAGCAGCACCACGTTCAATAACAATAAGGTTGTAATCTTCGGTGGTGCTACCCGGAAAGACCTTGAAGACGGGTGGCTGGCTGTCAGCCGTGAGGTCCAGGTCTAGGCGCTCGAGGCTAACCCGTGGCACCTTGCGCATGAGGCCGCTCACCTCACCCTCACCTGAGCGAGACCTACAGGTACAACTTGGTGTGAGTCACCACCCTCCATCCTTCCCCATTCCCACCTATCCTCTACCCCAAGAAACAGTCACACTCACCGCTTCACACCTGACACGTGGGGTTCTGCACTTGAGTAGGGATCATCTGCTTAGAAGGCAGAAAGGACTGGCAGGTTGGGGTGGACACAGGGCACCAGTGCCCCTCCCTCCCCACCAAGCATACCCACTCACCTGACCCAAAGCCATAGCCTTCTTGCACCTCCATGGGCTGTGAACAGAACAGGACCTTAGTGGGGCACAAACCCCATGGGACCCATGTCCCCCCTCCACTCCCCTGCTCACCTGGCTGCTGCCAGAGCCCTGCTTGCTCAGGGGCCCTGGGGCTCTCGGAGGGGCCATGGGCGCAGGACCTGTTGAGTTGGTGCCAGGACGCTCTGCCACAATCTTGCCTGCGGAAAGAGAAGCATAAATAGGTACAGCACCTGGAGTGGTACCAAGGTAGAGCATAGACAAAGGACTGGGACCCACCGAAGGCCTCGGCACTCTTGGTCCAGGCATTGAGGTCCCACTGAAATTTCATCTCGCCATGTGGCTCCACGGGATCTACAATCATCTTGAGGGCCCGGTGCAGCTGGAAATAGATCTGGTGGGGAAAGATGGGGGAGTTACGAGCACACCAGGCAAACAAACAAGGTACTGAGGACCCCCTGCCTGGAGCCCACCAGTACATACCAACTTCTTAGAGAGCAGCAGGGCTGTGTTGTTGTCACTCTCCAGAGCCCAAGAGGCAAAGCGCAGGATGTGCTCCTGGTGCTTCTGTATCTTGGTCATGGTCCAGTGCTGCCGCTCCAGGCGCTCCTGCTGTCCCTCAGTCACCTTCTACAAAAGAAAGGGGTATGAGATAAGCAAGGCGGACAGAGAACACTAGGATTTCTTCCCCATGCTGGACAGCATCAGGAAAGAGCAGTGGGGGCCCAGGGACCCTCTCAACAGCACAAGGCTTACCTGCGCATCGTTGACCAGCACACGGCCCCGCTTGTTCAGCTCCTTCATGATCTGCAGTATGGCCATCTTGACATCCACCTGCACACGCTTCTGTACATCAGACACCTGGCGGATCCTAGGAGGTGGGACAGGTCAGGCTGGGCAGGGTCTTGCCCAGGGCCACCCACACAGCCTTGTCACCCACACTTACGAGCTGCGAACCTCCTTGGTGCTCTTCTGCAGTGTTGCATGTTTGTCCCCAAGGCGCTTCACCAGCGAGGCCAGGAGCTTGCGCTGGTTCCTCACTGCATCCTCTAGAAACTGGTATCTGAAAGCAGAGGTGGCCCTTGGGGGCTGAGCCCAGAAACGGGTGGCACCCACCCACCCACTGTGCTCTGGGACTCACTGGTGGTCCTTGTGAGCATTGAGTTGGCAGTCCCGGCAGGTGAGGGTGTCACAGCTCTCACAGAACAGCACAAGGGGTTCATGCTTGTGCACGTTGCAATAGACGGTACGCTCACCATCCCGAGACTTGGCAGGCCCTGGGGAGTGGGAATCATAAGGCTGGACCTTGCCCTTGGCTACCCCCAATTAAGGAAGCAGACAGAGCTCGAGGTCCATTTCCTGTCTGTCCTGTAACCCTGAGCCATCTATCAGAAAAAACTAGAACATGTGGCAGTGGCCAGGGAAGAACACAGGCCTGCAAGCAAAGCTCCTTGCATCCAGAAGCTTCCACCCCAGCCTAGCCAAGAGAGAAACATTCCTCTTCTTCCAGCTTCTGGAAACGTAAAGGTAAGGATGACAGCCTCTTATAAGAAAAGACCACCTAGCCGGGCTCAGTGGCTCAGCCTGTAATCCCGCGCCTTTGGGAGGCTGAGGTGAGTGGATTGCCTGAGTTCACGGGTTCGAGACCCGCCTGGGCAGCGAGACCTCATCTCTACAATAAATCAAAAAATTAGCCGGGCATGGTAGCACGTGCCTGTAATTCCAGCTACTCAGAAGGCTGAGGCGGAAGGATCGCCAGAGCCCAGCAGGTGAGTCTGCGGTGGCCGGAAGCGGCCACTGCACTCCAGTCTGGGCGACAGAGTGAGACTCCAACTCAAAAAAAAAAAAAAAAGACCACCTTATTGTCCTCTCTATTAGAAACTTTTCCAAATAATCATAATCAAAATTCTGCCTACACCCTCCATTCTTTTTTCTTCCCCGTTCATGGTAACTTCCTCTCTATTCCCTAACAAGAAAAGGCATGGGTCTTTTACCATCCAAGGACTCTGAGCAAACCCTGCAGAGCCTTCTTAGACTGAAACATATCAAACCAGGACCCTCAGAATGGTGTCAGCCCTCCTTGCCTAGAGCAGGATTCTGGTGCTCAGAATGTCACCAGAAGACCAAAACACCAGCAACATCCACAGCCTGTTTCGCTCCTAGAAAGCTGATGAGGTATGATGGTCTCCCACATAAAAACCAAACCCAAAGTACGCAACATCACAGCACAGGTCAGCTAAGTATTGGCTTCTCCAGCGCCACCCATTCCTATACCCTGACCTAAGCCCAGAACCTCGGGAATCTAAGAAACCCTTCAGACTCCTGGCCATCTCTCCTGTCCCCTCACTTCCATTCCCATCTTCCCACCAATGCTATCCTCGGGTATGGAAATTAGAATCACAGGTCACTCGTGGGTTGGTT